CTAATTCCTCTTAAATCTTAACTCCGCTCTCACTCGCGTCCCGCCACTTTGCGGTCCTCCCACTTCCTTCTCACTCTGCGACTCGCCCACGATATTTTCTACCCTTCTTTCACACACATCCCGCTGTCCACGGTTCTCCAGCCTCCCTCTTACTCCGGGTCCCGCCTGCGGTTTCTTCCCTGCGCCTTTCACTTGCGGAGCGCGCCTTTTGCAGTTCCCCGCTTTCCTCTTACTTCGCGTCCTGCCCTGTATCAGCCCAACCATCCAATATCCTTTTAGCTCTGACGGATCAGGTACGGGTCCCGGTCACCAACCCCTGGAGCTGGGGTGAGTACACTCGGATTATGGGCTCTTGGTATGGCCAAAGTAATCATGAGAATTTTGTATTTACACAGTAACCACCTCACTCACACCCCAAGCACGCTCTTGGCTCCCACACGTGCAAATAGTCACAATCCTCATCTGCAGTTTTTTTAGGAGGCCTTCTTCCTTTCTTCCCCCTTTCTTTTTCATTATCCGATCTTTGTTGTCGCCAGGGTGTTAACCTGCAGTCTCTATTAGTTCCAGGAGAAGTTCTTCAAGCCACCAAACGGGGCAGGAGTGCACCTCTCCTACTAAATCTCCCAGGGCCATGGAGATGAGGTTTTTAAATCCCGGACGAGTCCCCATTTGTGAGAAACAATGCTCACTTTTAAAAATTTCAAGGGTTCATTAAAAACCTTAACAAATAGAACAAAGGACTGAACAAGGAAAAAGGACAGCGCACTGGGAGTTGGTGACCGTGGCAGCCACGAGCTCTCTACAGAATGACTGCTCCACCTTTTACACCCCTGGGGTTGCATCAGGCAGCCCTGGCCCCTCACAGAGTCCATCAGTCAGCTCTTCCTCGCTGTCCATGGCTGCAGCTGCTTTCTTGCACCCTGGCTGCAGCTCAGGTGTTGCCGCCTCTCAGTGAGGAGCCTGCCCGCTCCAGCTGCCCAAGCAAGGGCACAGGAACTCGCCCTCCTGACACAGGTCCCGACTACCAAGGCAGTCTAAACAACAAACTACAATACCATAATTACACATCAATATAACATCTCTCAACATACATATAATATTCATCTCTTAATTGCCAGAGCCAATCATCACATTACCCATCTATAACACAGTCCTTTATGTGTTTGCCAAAAATAACAATAATTTTTAGTAATGACAACTGAAGAGATAATTCTTCTGAGGTGTCAGGCTCAATAATATTCTGTATACTTAGTTTGATGCCTACTCAGTGCAGTGAGGATATAGCTTACATGTTTACAGATGTGTTTTAATATTTTCACATTTTTGAAACATGACCCTTTCAGAGCCTACAATATTTGCTATACTAACGAAGATCTTAATGTAATATATTTACTATTCTTGGATAAATCTCTTCATCAATGCCAAACTCACAGTATTTTATTAAAGACAGAAAAATACTTTTACTGAGGTCAGCTGTATACCACTTGAATTTTTTGAACCCTAGCAAGCAGGTGTTACCGAAATTGGTCAAAATCTCCTTGCACTGCTACTGTAGCATTAAGAAGCAGGCATTCTTTATTTCAGCACTAGATGCCACAGGGGTATCTCCACCAAAACTGTGCATGTCAGGTACAGAAAAGTTCCTGCTTTATATACTCTGTTTTGTATACATATTAATTGGCTTTCCCAGAACGAACATACATATAATAATAATTTCCTTGAGACCGTAACATGTTCCCCCCCTGCTTTGCACATGCGTTCATCTGTCCCAGGGGTCCCTCTGGTGGTCTCTGGTGGTCCCAGACCCCAAAGTTACCTGTTCAGTGAACTGGTGTTGCTTTCCAAAAAGGGAGCTGAGATGACATACCCAGGCTGGTTCATTATTTTGTTAATGTTTAACATGATCCTACAGAATATGTATTGCACCTTTCTCTAGACTACTGGTTTTGAAAAACAAGCATTGTATTTTCTCACCAGCTGAGCAAATAGTTATTCATCTAGCAACACATGGACAGCTATTTCCAGTACTGCTTCTGAAAAAGCAACACAATCTTCTGTTGGTTCTGTTACATCCAGAGGACTGGGTTGCTTTAGTCTACAGATTTTTTTTTAAATGTATACATGGAAGGCAGTATATTCATGAAAATTTGGTAGATGTACAGAAATAGCTTTTATATAACCTCCTTCACTGTGGCTTTGAAAACTTTGTTATGGTATAAAGGAAGGGCGGAAGGAAGGGCGGAAGGAAGGGCGGAGGGAAGGAAGGGCGGAGGGAAGGAAGGGCGGAGGGAAGGAAGGAAGGAAGGAAGGAAGGGCGGAAGGAAGGAAGGAAGGAAGGGCGGAAGGAAGGGCGGAAGGAAGGAAGGAAGGGCGGAAGGAAGGGCGGAAGGAAGGGAGGGAGGGAGGGAGGAATATCCAGATATTTTTGGAAAGCTGAGTAAAAAGAGACGAAAAGGATATGTTTTCCACGGTTGCTTTGTGGAATGTTGTTTCAAGCAATGTTGTTTAATTTGTTTTTCTTCTTTTGGTTAGTTGAGGTCTTTTTCCACACACTAAGACTATTCTGTGAGACTAAGACGTGACATTTGACTGCAACCAGCAGAGAGACAGTCCTCTTTCTCTTGCCCTCTCTCTAGGTCCCCCCTTTTTACTAGTACTAGAATCCATATGGCTAGTTTATCTGGATGAAACTTTTTTTTTCCTGGCTGATCTCACAACACATAGTGGCTAGTACCAACACAAGGGAGAAACAGCTACCATCTGTGTGGCCTGAAAGTGAGCTTGTGTCTTTCAGGTTAGGCCATAGGTATGCAAGTTTAAACAGATGATGAAAGTCTTCTTTTAGAAAGACCTACTGAGAAGCACAGGATGCCTTGGTAGGTAGTTTGCATGTTATTCCATCTCAGTAGGACTTTGAATAAGAGGAGCATTTGCATCCACCCATCCTAATGACTCACCTCTACTTGCTCCATGTTATGGACTTCATTTTAATAACAATAAACTGTTTAATCACAGTAGTCCTTCCAGCAAATAGATGTGTAAATGTTTCATTACATAGTTCTTCATAAAATGGTTCTATTTAATCAAAACGCTTTACTGCCCTGCAATGATGATTTATTTGCATAGTAGTCCAAGAAATGAAAACAGAAAAGATTGTGTCCAAAATAATCATGCATATGTTACAGTATAGTTTCTAAAACTGCAATTCAAATCATACTGCTTCTAGTGCTTGAATGCTTAAGCAGCTAAAAATAGCTTTGAAGAGTGGGAAAATACTTATTTCCTGTGTTTAAATAACATGGCTAGAACATGTTAATCAAAGAATTGAGTTATACAGTAATAATTGAGTGTTTTCTAAAAAGTTTAATTCAAAAGATACGAAAAACATTTGTTGTTCACTTTTACATATATCTAGCATATATATATATATATAAAATGAGAACTTGTACAAATAATTTTACAACTATTTCAAAACAATAGGTTAGATAATTCTATTTTGCTTAAGTTGGGTGCATGCTTTTCGAGGTTCTTTCTTGTTCATTGTAAAACGGTGGTATTCTTTAAAAGGTTTCTGTTTTTTAAAAGATTGTTAATTCCCCACTATCTTAAAAGGAAGTTCCATCAAGAGTTCTGTAAACTTATGCTTGAAGTGTAGGCAAATTTCACTTAGAAAGCTAGGTGGCCTGTACTATTCTGTGGTTGCTTTTTCTTCTAAAAGGAGTATTTGAAAGAGCAGCTGTCCTGTGAGAATTCTTCTGAAGATGGTGTTACCTCGAGTCAATGCCCACCTTTGACACTGAAGGGCAGCGAAGAGCAGCCTGTCTTCAACCCTTTCCAGGTGTACAGACAATCTTGTGCAAAAGTATTCAATCAGGTTTGTGAAAATCTGAAACTTTGGTTACAGTATAATTTTTACTTGTTGGTCTTACTATGTTCATAACAAAGACTGAATGTATGAAAATGGAATTATTTATGTGTGTTCACATTTGATGAAGCAGAAAAGAGTATTATTTCTTGTAAATCTAATGAGGGTACCCTCTACAATACCACAGTGTTCAAAAAGCCATTACCATGCTTTTCTTTTATTGGAATTCTTACATGTAAGAGCGATTTTACATTTACTTACACTTCCTGTGTTCAGTATACTGAGGGAAAGCCCATCATGTCAATGACATTTATTACATCTGTGCAATAGTACATAAGGTTATTCTCAGTCCTTTGAAAAATCATGTCAGAACTCTGAGTTCACATTTAGAATCTTCCTCATGGGTCTTTCACAGACATGTTGAACAGTTAAGTAAAGAGTGCTTTAGAAATACAAAATTTTACGAAACAGTGAGACTAAGCAGGGGTAAAACAAAGAAAGAAAAAACCAGCATCCATGTCTCTGTTTTTCTTTAAGTTATGCTTGTAATATGTAAAGGATTATAATTTTTTTAGGGAATTTAGTTTCCTGATAATGAAAGCGTTAAAGAAAAGAGATCTGGTTGCCTAAATCTCTGCTGGAGCACCCCATGACCAATTGATTGCACAAAATGTTAAATCGTTTCTGATACTGCTTTGATACTTATCTTATGCCATTGTTTCTCATATATTCTTAATATGCCATCAACATTTTTGATTCCAGCATTCAATTCAAATATTTGAAAAGAAGTAGTATTACAGAAACATGAAATTCACTTTACAGACTTGTGTGGAGATGCATCCTTTTTCAGTGCAGCTCTGCTTATATATGGTGTAATCTCCTAGCCCGGTTTTGACTATCTGGTCTATTTGATCAGTTATATTGCTGTAAAATATACTTGTTTTTCTTAGTTGTTTAATGGATGCTTACTCATTGTTAGGTTGCAACCAAAGTGTTAATATCCTGAAAAAGGAGACAAATACCAATTCCACAAGGCTTTTCAAGGCTTCTCACTCCAGAGAAACATGCTTTATAGAATCTTTGAATCAAAAGAATCATAGAATAGCTTCAAATGGAAGGGACCTTCCAGTCATGAGTCATAGAACCAGACAGCAGGCGAGATTGGAAGGGACCACAGTGAGTCATCTGGTCCAACCTCCTTGCTCCAGCAGGGTCATCCCAGAACACATGGGCAGAGAATTGTGTCCAGATGGTTCTTGAGTATATCAAGTGAAGGAGACTCCACAGCCTCTCTGGGGAGTCTGTTCCAGTGCTCAGTCACCCAGGCAGTAAAGAAGTTCTTCCTCATATTCTGCCCAAAAGGTCAAATGTATCATGGGCTGCATCAAAAGGAGCATGACCAGCCAGTCAAGGGAGTTGATTCTGCTCCTCTACTCCGTCCTGATGAGGCTCCACCTGCAGTGCTGCATGCAGATCTGGAGTCCCCAGCACAGGAAGGACACAGAGCTGTTGGAGCCAATCCAGAGAAGGGACACCAAAATCACTAGAGGGATGGAGCACGTCTCCAGTGACAAAAGGCCAAGAGAATTGCAATTGTTCAGCCTGGAAAAGAGATGGCTTTGGTGTGACCTAATTGCAGCCTTGCAGTACTTGACGGAAGCTTACAAGAAAGATGGAGAAGATTTTTCATGAGCATGTAGTGACAGGACAAAAGGGAATGGATTCAAACTGACAGGAAGTGGCTTTATATTAGAGCTTAGAAAGAAATTATTTCCTGTGAGGGCACTGGAACAGGTTGCCCAGAGATGTTGTGGTTACCCCATCTGTTTAAAGCATTTCAGGCCAGGCTGGACAGAGCTCTGAGAAACCTGGTCTAGTGAAAGGTGTACCTTAACCATGGCAAGGGGTTGGAACAAGGCAATCTTTCTGGTCCCTTCAAACCCCAATCATTCTATAATACTCTTCTCTGATTCTATTTCCAAGCTTAATGATGTTATTAAATAGTTCACTTCCCTTTACCATAAAATTGCACTTTGATTTAGTAGTGTGGGACTGTCTGTTTATAAAACAGTGATGAGTATAGCTGAGTGTCTGGTTTCCAGTAAAAATAATTGCCAGTGCCTGTAAAAGATGCCAGAGCATTCTCAAGGAGCCTTTCCTTATTCATTCACTTTCCACTTTCTCAGTATTTTATTTTTTTCTTGTTACCCTTATTTCCCTTTCGTACTCTGTATTTCACCCTTGTTTTTCTACTTTAGTTTAACATGCATGTAAAAGATGAGGGATAGAGAGTAAATTAAGTAAGGAAAAGGAAAGTGATAAAATATAGATGGAAGGAATAGGAGGGATTGCAATGATTCTGCTCTCCCAGAGGAACCAAGTGCTGCCTGTAAGAAGAAAAATATGTGCTCCAAGTTACACTTTACTGTTGTTTAGGTTTATTTCCATTGTTTTGACTTGCTTAAACTTTTTTTAACTACTCAGTGCTATTTTAGTGTTACAACAATTACTTTGTACTTATTTCCTCCCAAGAACATTGAATTACAGTCAATACTTGACCACTGCTGACAACGAAAAGGAATATTATGCAACAGAATGTACTACTTTTTAAAAATAAGGATGTTGTGTATGGTCTTTTGTCTGCCCATTGATGATGTAAATTGCTTTGGTTTATTAAATAAGCAATATGGAGTTATATTTGTCCATATTGTCTAGATTTAATGCTGTTTATAGTACAGCATTAAATTACTCTAATTATGAAACAGGTTACTTCTTGAATTCCAGCTATACCATATTTTTCACAACAAAACTTTTTGCTGACAGCAGAAAATGCAAATTGCTGTTACATACAAAGTTACCAACTATTTTGCTTTTTGGACAAAGAGTAAAGTTCTCAGACAAAGTTATTAATCAGAATGCCATCAACTGTTGGAAGAACAATGGTTAAAAAAACTGATTTATCTTTTTATAAATAGTGTCTATGTCCGTAATTAATTAATTGCCATTTTATTGGAATAAACGCCTTCTTCTGTGGACATGATTGATAAAATCTTTCTAAGTCCTCATTCTAGACCCCCCTCCTTGGTTAGTATATCACAGCTGGAGCTTTAATGTACTGATCATATTAATGCTGATTAATAACTAACTAGTTTCTTGCCATGTATCAACAGTCAGCCATTACTGAATGGAACTGGGATTGGTCAAGATTGCTGCCAGGTTATTTGGGACTGAATCAGATGGCCTTCAGGGTGCTGCTGACACACAGGTAACAGGACTTTGGCAAATGATCACATTTTCCTTTTGTATTTTTGACTTTGTAATAGTGGATACACAAAGATTTTACTGGTGAAATGTATAAATAAAATGAATTCTGCATTTCCTTTTAAATATGTAGTTTTAAAATGGAGCAACATTTTTTCTGTAGTATTTGTTCCATACTCAGATGGCTTTCAATTCCTGTTTTGAGGTGTATAATTTGTTCTTTCTGTTTGAGACAGAAGTATATGAATATATGTTGATATTGCACTTAAATAATGCTTTGAAAAAAAATTAGTCACTTTTGCACACATCTACTGCAAAATTTCAGCACAGAATTTAGTCTATGTTTATTCAAGTTGCAAAATATCTTAAATTCAGTTGGGGATGTGACAAATGTAGCTAAAAATAGAAAATGTTTCCTTAATAGCTTTTAATTAATGATACTTATTCTCATATTTTATTGCCTTTTCGCTTGTAAAATGTAACTGTTTAATTCAGAAGCAGCAATTTCTTAAATTCAGAAAAATTTAGGTGGAAGTTTTTTTGGGGGAGGGGGTTGTTTTTTGTTTGTTTCTTTTTCATTAATATTTCCCACATGTGAAAACTGGAAAATTTACATGTTGCAGACTATACTAAGACATTCCCTTAATTCTGAATCCTCCTGATCATACCTATTAAGATCTTATCAGTCATCTTTTGAATGGGACTGTTCCTCTATCTAGAAACTTCAATGGCAATTTCAAAAGTGTGTGAATTTGCATGTCATAATGGTTTTGGGTGTTTTTTGGTCCCATTTTCTTCATTTAGCACTAGCAGTTCTTATTAAACATTTAATTATTCCTTCCTTTCATTTATAAAATACTTGTACAGTCTGTGTTGTTGTTACAGACAGAATGTGAAACTTCACAGACTTTTTGTGTTAAATGTCAGAGACAATACAGTACTATTTTTTTTACTTTGATGGTTCTCCTGTTGATTGCTACCTCATGTCCTTCATTAAAAATTATGTAGACTGTCCTTTTAAAAGAGACTGTCATAGAAACTCTTAGACTAAAACTGGTTCTTGAACTTTGTTTCATGTTATTGTCAGCAAGGGAGCAGAGGACTGCTGTGATTTGCAGAGGAAATATTTTGTGTGGACATATCATATCCACTGTTCCCTTAAAACAAAATTTTATTTTTCTTTTGATCTCTCTTTAGACATTCGGAAGAAATCATGTGTATGCCTCCTCTGTCCTTTTCTGTATTTCACACCCTTGTCATATCATCTATTTTCTTTAATTTAATAAATTCCCTAATTGTTGTCATCTTTCCTAATTTGAAAGTGTCTTCATTCATTACCCTTCTACATGGTAAGGAAATTCTCATCTAGAAGTGACATTATACAAGTAATTAATAATTAGAGCATGGATCTATTATTTCAACCTCTCTACAAACCAACAAATCATTTAGATCCACTGTGATCATAAAGTATAATAGTTGGTCCAGTATCTGCCATAGCAACCAGCATTATCATCACAACTTCTCTTTATGTGACTTTATTTTTATCATAGCTAGTATGTGTATGCTCATACTTTACAGCTGACTAGGACAATTCTAGCTGTTCTTGCAGCTACTCAGGCAAGCTATGCGGAGTAAGTCTGACTAAGACTCAGGTGAGCCCTATCTTTAGGTGATTCTTCATGGTCCTTCTTTGAGCTGGATAAATTTCAGCCTTAATTGTGCTCAAGACTTAATGTTCAATTTGAATGAACATGTGATTATTTTGACCTCCGATTTATGGTGGACTTCCTATTTCTACTGTTTCCCTCCTGAAATGAGTTAAACAAAACCACAGGCAGTACTTGAACTGTGCCAGAGCCATAAAGTGGGGCACTGTAATATTTTAATTACTCCTTTCTTTGACACATGCTAAAGCTTTCCTTGAATAGTTACATCTGTGCAGGCAAAAATATTTTTACCAGTTCACAGTGATGCTGGAATGATATTTATCTCCTTCTTTATGTATTTCAAGAAAAAATACTGTCAGTTGCATATGAAGGTAAAAAAGCATGATCTTTCTTTTGAGGAAAAAAAAAGTGAAAATTCTTAGGGGACTAATTTACAAGGCAAATGCTCCCCTAACCTAGTTAATGACTGAGTTAGGTGAGAGGGTGTTATGAGAGCATTGTCCCAGAGCCAGCAAGTATTAGGCAAATTAATTGGTTGGTGGTTAGGGGAAAGTAAAAGACTTCTAGGACTGGTTAAAAAGGGAATGAATTGTTGTCTACTACTCATTGCTGGCTTCACACAATGATGGGAATCTAATCCCTGCATTCATATGATCCTCAAAGTAAAAGTGTCCAGGAAATTTTTAAAATTAAAGATGTGGTGGTTGTTAGGCCCCAGAATTTTCTCACTGAGTCCATCAGAAGGGCTTACAGGGGTGTACCCTGAGTTAGATGCAAGGGAAGAATACTGACAAATTATTCCTCAAGAGTCAAAACTTAAAACTTAAGTTAACAAACTTAAATGGCATACTTGAGAAAAAGTTTTAAGCAAATTTAATGCTTTATATTGAATCAATATAAAGCATTTGACAAAACATTAATTTAGCAAGAACTAAGCCCATTCAATTTAACAAACTTCAACTCATCTGATTTTAATTTACTCAAAAATAAATAATATGTATGTGTACATATATATATATATTTCAAGCAGCAAGAATAAAAGTTAAAAGGTATTTCTCAATTATACTTGAAACAGTATCTTTTAGTAATAAGACCATTAACATTCAACTAATTGAATTAACTAATTGAATTGTGAACTTGATTTACACAAGTTTTAAAAAATATCCTTCATACTTAACAGATGCATGCTGCTTTTTCAAGTCTTGGACTCACTTATTCATCCTTAGCCACTCCAGTAACAAATGGGGATTCCTTACCTCTAATATATGTATTAAAGAAGAGCAATTGTTATTTAATTGCCCATAACTTCTAATTAGTTTCTTGCTCATGAAGTTACAATTCTTACTGTCTGGCCAAATCAGCATGTTGAAAATCTGCAGGAAGTACTTAGCAGTAGGAAAATAGTTGTTGTGTTGTCAACACTGAGGCACAATTCCAGAGCACAGTACCATGCATTATCCTTCTTGTTTATGTACTCTTCTTTATGTATAAGTTAAATTCATGACCATTTATTTTCAGAGAAATATCTTGGCAACTTGCACATGGTTAGAAGATAATATTATTTTGCTGAGATGTGACCTGCCTTCTGCAGTTGTACTGGACTTTCAGGTGAACTGAATACATGATAATGTAAAGCTATTCCTATCACTAGAAAGAGGAGAAAAAAAAAGCATTTTTTGAAATCTGTAAAGCCATTATCCAGTATTGTAGTAACTTGCAGTTCTGAGGAGGAATGACTGGGACTCCCTCCTCTGCACTTAGGGAAGTTTCACAAAGCACTGGTGTCTGTGCAGGGACAAGTAGTGATTTAGTTGTAATGATGTAGATCCTGCTGCAGGAGCACCCTGGGAGCAATAGGAACCGACAGAGAAGTGCTCATGACTGGCAAAGCCAACAACTGTCAGGACCTTCAGAACAGAAGGCTTAACAACTTAATAACTGAGAGGGGAGTGGGTTATTTTTACTCTAAGTGCGTCAGGTGAGAAACAGTAACAAGTTAGAAAAACTATAGAAATTAAAACTAGTATTTGTTCAAGTGGAAGAGAAATGTTATAAAAATGTCCATACTGAAAACTAGAATATGATTTCCAACAGATAAGGAACAGTGTAGCTCAAGAAGAACTTTCCAGAAAGTGTTTATGCAGTGATATGAGCTCTAAACAGTTTTAAGTTGGGACAGGATAGACCAAGTATCTAGGCAACTTTTGGTCATATGTTGTCTTGCTAGATATTCTAAATTGCCCATCACCTTCTGAAAGTAGAAAGCATGGAGATGCTTATATATTTGCTTTAAGGAAACTGTAAAAAATGAGTACCTTTGTTTTTTACTAAAACTGACCAAAATCTGTAGGCTTTCTAGTAGACTTTCTTGCTACAACTACAAATCAACTATTAATGATGGTTAGTGAAGAGGTAGGGTGCCTTTAATACTGCAGTAATTGTCACCTACTTGGTGTTACTATAATTGATGCCCTTATAATGCATATGAGAACATTCACTGCAAAATATATTTAAACTCTCAGATTCTTTGGACTATAGATTTTTTTTATAACATTGTCCAGACTGCATTCTTTCTGATGAGCTACTGGGGTGTTTACAAGTGGGTCTGCTTTTTCGGTAGATAAAAACTGTCATTATCAGCAGAGTGCTATCCTAGGACCGAGAAAATCTTGTACTTAGTGTCTCTTTATTAAAATCCTTTCAACTCTACTGCCTTTTGCAAATTCATTTGTTAATAAGTTGTGGCATTTGTTCCCCATATTAGAGCTAGGTGATAAAATTATGTGTTTTGACTTTGATTAAGCTTGATAAAACTGAAGTAAGAAAGTCTTTAGAATTTTGAATGATTGCAGGGCAAAATTTGCATAGCTCTTGTATATTCTAGTGAATACACAGACACCATCTGTTGAGAATGATAGCCATATGGTGAACTATTTATAGAAAATGTTTATATTCATTGTGTTGTTGATTATCTAGATATCCAGAAAACACACTTTTAAAATGTAGTTTATCAACGTGTGGAAAAATTTATTATGTGGTTTTGAAACTGGAAAGAGTGCCAGCAAACTGCATGTGTTTTGTTGTCAAAGACTTTTTATAAAACTTTACAAAAGCCTAAATCTGAGAAATGAGTGAAAAAAACCTCCAGGGTATTAAAAGGTAGGAAGTTCTCTAACAATTTCCTTTGTGGAAGAAACAAATGATGGAAGAGCAGTTATTGACATGATGCCAAGACAGAGAGGTTATCTGCATGGCAGAGGGCAGCAGTCTTATATCTAGTGTACTTTTAGCTATGTTTATGTGTCTTCTGAACTGCTGATGCTCCCAGACTTTTTGT